GGGGGGGGGGGGGGGTTATTGAGAAAGCCAAGTGTTCTCCGAACCTGGTCCTCTCGATTAAAAAACCAACCACACAGACAGCTTTGTTCATACATGGCTTAGTGAAAAACCAACCAAACAGCCCCATAGTTATTAGAAAAATATAAAAATTGTAAAATCTTTTTGTCAGTTGCTTTGTTTTGTGTGCTCGTGCATAACAGGTCGGTGCCATTTTGCATGGCTTTTGATATAGCCAAGTATAAGTATTCTCCTTTCTATATAAACCATTTGTCTATCACATTTGCTTTCTTTGTGTTGTTCACAATTGATATTACCATTTGAAGGAATCCGTTTTGTGGCTTCGGAAATGTGGATTGAGGAACTACGATCTATGAAGCTGTGTCGTACCCCGGATGTGGCTCATTTTAGACAATATTGTGGAGGTGTTTTTGTTGATTATAAAGTAGTTTGTAGTTCCAGTCCCAGAGTGATATCTGGATTCTGGGTAGGACCAGATGTTGAAGATGGCTGGGGTTTTGTTGAAGCTGTTGTAAATCAAATATCTGATTTTTGATTATTTTCTAAATTCTTTGTACCTGTTTTGATTAATGTAGAGATGACCATTGCAGACTTCGGTTGGATCGGGTTGGATCCAACCTATTTTTGTCTAACAAGTCTAATATAGCAAATTTTATCCCCTTATTTGCGGGCTTGATAACTATATAGACTCCTAGTGATGCACAAGATGGGGACTTCTTTGATCCTGGCCTTCCAAGCACGTTTTCCATTTAGGGGGTGTTTGGGAATTGGGATTGCTTATTTGAAACAACTTATGTTTTTCTATAAAAGTCACTATCAACTTATTATAAGTTAGAATGTTTTAACTTCTTCAAAAAAAAATTATTACCGGTTTGATACCAGTATAAGCTGTTTATCTAAATACTCAAAAGTGTTTATTACCGGTACCACACCGGAATAAGTAAATAAGTTATTTTCATAAGCAATCCCAAACACACTTTTATAAAAAAGTCTTGGGCTTTTTGAAGTCCGGGCCCATGTAAAAATTATCTAGATCGACCCTTTTTATGACAAACTTTATCGGGTTTAAAAGAAAGTAATTAGGCCTATCAGGCTTTAAGACCTAATGTGGGTCTAGGCCTAGTTTTGCTAGGGCCATGTCGGGCTTTGGGCTTAAGCTTTTTTATGCATCTCTATTAGAAATGGGCAAGGCCGGTTCCAATCGGTCCTAACCTTTCTCATAACCGGTCCTGGTCGAAAATGATAGGACCGGTCAAGGTACTTCATAACCGGTTATGGGCCGCCGGTCCCGGTCCCCGTCCCGACCGGTCCTTGCATAAAAAAATAAGATTTTTATTTATTTTAATTAATGATATATATTTTTAATACATTATAAAATTTACAATTGGGTCACTCAAATACACTTTAAAAATGCGTTTGAATATAATTAAAATTACGTTTTCTTATAAAAATACATTATAAAATTATTTAAAAATACATTTATTTATAAAATTATTTGAATTTTCAGGCCGGTCCTATAACCAATCCCGGTCAATCCCGGTCCCACGAAACTACCAAAAACCTCAACCGGTCCCGGTTTTCGGTCCCATAACCGGTCCTTACCGGTCCCGGTCCCGGGCCGGTCCTTTGTCAGTCCCGGTCCCGGTCCTTTGTCAGTCTCGATCCCGGTCCTCCGGCGGTCCCGGGCAGGGCCGGGCCGATTTGGCCATCTCTAATCTCTATTGATTCCTTGTCAGCTACTGCTAGAAACAATGTGAATTTCCTCCCTTGATAGCCTAGGGAGTTGTGCGGAGGACGCAACATATTGACTAATTGTTGGATGTTTTTGATTTTTATTCTTGACAAGTTAATATAATAAATATAATTTCATAGTTTCCAAACTCATATTTTGTTAAAATTGTTAGGTTTACTTTAAAATGAAATCATAGAAAAAGGGTATGTTTGTTTTTTACAATTCTCCTCTTAGTTGCCTCTAAAGTCTTATTCGATCAGACATAAATCATTTCAGACTGTTTTTTTTAGCTGAAATACCTCTTATCGTCCTCTTAATTTTAAGTGAGAAACCTATCTCTGAAATCAATTTCAGAAGCCGCCTCCATCTCGCCCTCAGCTCTCGATTTCAACCTCCATATCTTGATCTTAAACACTTCAAGCTTAAGCTCTCGATCTTAGACTTTGCCTCTTGATCCAAGTATCTCTCGATCCAAGCATCTCTTGATCTCTTCTGCCTCTCGATCTCTCAAGAAAGGTAATGGGTCTTGCCTCTCGATCTCTCTGAGAACCCGCGTTTCTTCTCCTTCTTGACTTACATCATCTTATTAGTTTTTCAAGGTATTTCATCAATTTGTTGGTCTTGATCGTTCTGTTACATTATTCAAGTCACCAAAAACAAAACCATACTGAGCAGTTTTGTTTATTGTTTTCCTTATAAGGGGATAATGAACCATGAATTTACCATATACACGCTCCCTTGGAATTTACCATCCATAATGATCAGATTACCAAAAGGAGTCATACTGAGTTACCAATAGGGATACTATACTTTACAATTAAGAACACAACAACAATCCAGTTGTAGGATCTAGCAATTTGGCTTACAACCATTGCAAAAAAAAAAAAAAAAAAAAAATTTCAATCCAGGGTATACAACACTACATTGTTTTATCTATTTTGGCCTTCCATTGCTTTTTGGCTGTTCTAATCAAAGCCTTCTTGAATTTGGGTTTATCTAAAACAGTTGAATTATGTGGTTTAAAGATTTTTATTGAAAGTTCATTTTATGCCATGGGCAAAACCAACCTGATTATGATATAATAATAACTCCAATCGATCTCAGGTTATGTTTCTCAATCGATCTCAAATTCTCTCAATCCATCCAATCTCGATCTTTGACTCTCTTGATTAGGTATTGCTCTATACTTTAAAGTTTCATGAGACTTCAGTTCTTGTGTACATGTTTATCTTTATTATGCATGTTTTAACAATTGCTTGTGTATAATCGTTGTATTCCAGAATTTGTGTGAGCTCTTTTTCCGGTTAGGGCCTTCTTCTTGTGCTACTTTTTGTAGATGTTCTATTTCAAAATCTGTGAAATCTCTCTTGGTATTAATTTCATCAATACTTTCCAAGTTGTTAATGGTAATTAACATACTCAAGTTTAGAATGTTCTTTGTCTTGTTGAAACTGGCTTGGTTTTATTGATGGATTTTTTTGGTTACTTTGTTGATGGGTTTTCGTCTCTTTCCTTATTCTGTCCCCTATGTTGCACCTTACTTGATCAAATGAATGGGATTTGTTTATGCATTTATCTGTATATGTTAACCAAACTTTCTAGTTGCTTTCTATTTCTAAAATGTCCATTTGTTGTACTAGTCTTGTTGTACAGTTGATTTTGAGTATTTGATGATTGGTAACAAGATAACAAAGACAAGATTTGATCATTATGCATGCTATTGAGTTTGTAAACGAGTAGGCATAGGTTCTAATACTGAAATCTTGGTGGGTTGTTTTGCAAAAAAGAAGCTAATCTTGTTCCTTAGATAATTGGTAACAAGTTGATGTTTATCTTGTTTTAGCTGTTGGTGTCTCCGGTGGTCCTAGTAGCATTGCATTATGTGTGTGTATATATATATATATATATATATATAGGAACGTTCAAATGAAAAACGCATCTATTTGTGTAAACCGTGTAAACCAATCTCATCCATTCATTTTCTTGATAAATGGTCAAGAGTAGTAAACTTTATTTTAGGAAATTAAAAAATATATATATATATATATTAAAATTTTATTTTTATATCAGCTGTAACACCCCCGTCCCGCGTGGTCAAGGACGGGAGATGCCACAATTGGAATAAAACCAGCATGTGTTATATAAAACAGAGCGGCTAATAAAATTTACCAAAAGATAATTACATAACTACAAACGGAGATAACGTGTCTCAAAATACAGTCCCAAAATACCAGCATGTCTACATTAGTCATCAAAAGTTTAACAAAAATATGACTTAATGAGTTATCTTCAATATTGTCATCTCCGTAGCTCTCATCCCAAAATCCCTGCTAAGTCATGTACCTACCGAGGACAAGAAAATCCCGGCTGAGCTTAATGCTCAGTGAACGGATAATAATATAA